ACAACACTAGCTTCTCCCCCTGGGTTCTTGATTCCAGGGCTTGGGAAGATGTGTAGGGGAGTCTGGGGGCCACCTTGAAGCTACAAACTTACTTGAGAAGGTGGTGGAGAAAAAAAGATACTCTTGCTTCAGGCTGCTTTCCTATATCCAATCCACCCCACTTTTTAGACAGGGTCTAGCTAGTGTAGTGTATCACAGGCTGGCTACAAACTTGCTATGTAGCAGATGATCAGCAACTTGTAAGCCTCCTGCTTCTAGCTCCCCAGTGCTGAATTACTGGCATGCACCAGTACACCCAGTTTTTATGCACTGCTAGGGACTGAACGAGGGGTTCCATGTATGCCAAGCAAACACTCTACCAACATAGCTGCCAACACTCTACCAACATCCTCAAACTTTCAAGTTTTTTTATTTTTAAAAGATTTATACACTATGTTTTGATCACATTCTTTTTCCTCTTCCAAACCTTCCTACACAGTATTTTTTTTTTTTTTTTTGAGACTGTTGTACTATGGCTGGACTTGAACTCATAGCAATCCAACTTCTCAGCTGCCCTGGTCCAAGCCCCCACTAGCCTGCCTGTGATTACTGCAGCACTCACTCTCCCTGGCCCATCTTTCTTCTGAAGCCAGAGGGCTCTTTGGAAGATGAACTTTAATGTGTCTCCAGCACTCAGGCACCAACAGAATAACAAAGTTGGAGCATCTTCACTGGGTACCTACCTACTTACCTCTCCAGAACGTCCTGCAGCCAAGTCCTGTTACAGTCTATGATAGAACCCCTGTGGTACCTAAACTGTCACACACATACACACACACACCTATGTCACACTGCTTCCACTGCCTAAAGTGCTTCACAGGACCCCAGGAAACTATCCACTTCTCAAAGTTCTAAGGGCTCTCCAAACCTCTCCTCAATGTCCTCGTCCCCAGGCAAGTCATACCTTCTGTTCCCTTGATTTGTACTTCATACTGCACAGACTTCTGGGAATGATTCCCCAGGGCCTGTCTGTGCAAGTGCCAATGGATCAGGGTGCCTGTCTTCTCTGGACACACCCTCCTTCAAAGCAGAGTCTGTCCTTCCCCTCTTCCTGTACCCAGCTCGTGACAGTCACATGGGGAAATTCACAGGTGCACAACAGAGACGCTCTACTTTGAGCCACCATATACCTAAGCATATGCATACATTATACCTGATGCACCACACATATATCAAATGTGATGTTTCCTGAAGATGCTAACTCAGGTTCCAGACTAGGCTCATTAGTGGGGACTCCAGAGAACTTAACATACATTTTCTCCAGTTCATACTTTAAAATACTATTTATCACTGGGTGGTGGTGGTGGTGGTGGTGGTGGTGGTGGTGGTGCACACCTTTAATCTCAGCACCCAGGAGTCAGAAACAGGAGGATCTCTGAGTTCTAGGCGAGCCTGATCTAAAGAGTGAGTTCCAAAGACAGCCAAGTCTACACAGAGAAATCCAGTCTTGAAAAACAAACAAAATGCTATTTATCTGCCAAACTTGGAGGCACAAGTATGTAATTCCAGCACTATCGAGGCAGAGGCAGGAGGATCAACACAAATTTGAAGCCAGCCTGGGCTACACAGAGAGACCCTGTCTCAAAAGGCCAAAACAAAACAGTTTTATTTCTCAGCAGTTCTACTTTTCTGGGGGTTGGGATAGGGTTAAGACAGAGTCTCAGTCTCTCTCTCTTAGTTTTTCGAGACAGGGTTTCTGTGTGTAGCCCTGGCTGTCCTGGAACTCACTCTGAGGATCATGATGGCCTCGAACTGACAGAGATCCACCTGCCTCTGCCCCCTGAGCTCAAAGGTGTGTGCTACCAATGCCAGGCAAGCCAAGGTATCTTTATGTAGCCTTCACTGTCTTAAAAGTCACTAGGTAAACCATGATGGCCTCAAACTCCCAGAGATCCACCTGCTCTGCCTCCCAGTGCTACCTAGCTCTGCCTCTACTTTTTAAAAAGGTTTTCATAAAAGAGCTGAATGAATGTACATTGCGCCTATACAGACTGGTCAAGTCCCTACTATCTTTTCAGAAAGAATACAATAAAATTCAGTGTTCTCATAACCCCTCATGACAGTCCTGACAGCTCCAGTTCCTGTGAACAGCCTTCAAGTAGTTCCCAGACCTTTCCTGCAGCTGGCAATGGAAACTATCATTTGCTAAGCATTTACCACCCAGTGCATGCTGAGCACTAACCAACCCTGCAACATCTATCTTAATCCTCCCAACTGCCCTTCTGGGGAGGTAGTCCCACTGTTTCTTTTTACAATGAGAAATCTAGGCATAGAGACATGATGTAGCCCCTACTGGCTAGCAGGGCTGGGATTAGAACCAGATATGCTTGAGCCAAACAAGCTCTTAACCTCTACAACCTTATCCATTAAAGGCACAAGAGTGAAAATAAAACACCCCTTACAACCCGCCTTCTGGGAGGGAAGACCTACCTTGCCAGCTGCTTAGGGAACCTGAAATCTCAGAAAGAGAAGGGCGCATGTGCCAGGCACTGCAAAGGGTTAGCCACGTAGCACAGGTTGCAAATGGTGCCTTCTCAACACAGATCCATTACGCCTTTGCCAGCTCTCCTCTTGGAGAAGCAAGGTGGTCTCTAATGAGGTCTCTAGCTCTTTCACCCTCCAGCTCTTCACCTCTCTTGCACAGAGAAAGCTATCTAAAACATGGATCTAGTCATGTTACCCCTCAGATAAAAGCTTTTTACTAGCCTTTGAGATGTCCATTTCCTCATCAACTTATTGTGCTTTGCTTTGTACTATGTCAGCTTCCATACCACTATACTGAGCAAGCTGAGGTTTCTGAAATAAACTCAAATTTTCTGACTCTCTGCAATTCTCTCCATACAGCATCTTCCACTTTATTCTCACCTGGCTAAGCGCCCCCTGCCCCCACGCATGCGTGTGCTCCATCATTCTAGACTGGACTCCTGTCACCACTGTCCACTCTTCCTAGGGTACCCCTCCACTTCGTGCCTCCATGTCCCAGACTGAGCTGGCAGCTTCCCTTACTGGGTCCCCTCAGCATTCAGTTCCTGTTGCTTTTGTAGATCACATTTCAACTATCTACTTGCAGGTCAGTTTCCTCTAACTAGACAGAGAACTAGTTCAGATAAGAATCTCTTTATTATGTGTTGTTAACTTCGTAACTCTCCATAATAATGCTTTATCATTACAGATGTTTTCCAAATGAGGACACTGATACAAAGGGTCCAAGATCACACAACCAGAAAGCTGCCGCACCAGAATTTGAACTTAGGGAGTATGGATCCAAAGCCTACCAATACTGCACAGCACTCGCCTTTGCAGGCAAGACCCTTTTGTTATGTGAAGAATGAATGAATGAATGAATGAATGAATGAATGAGGACTATCTCTGGCAGTCCTAAGTCTAATCTACAAACAACTGGCATAACAAAGCTATTAAGGAGGGCAGGAGGAACTCCCAGCACTGTTTACAAATGGGAACTCTCTGGGCCCTACAGATTTTGCTCTTCCTTATCTCATGCAAAACTACTCAGCCAAGAGGGAAAGGTGCCCAGCCCAGCATGACTACCCTCTTCCTCAATGATTCTCAAAACCAGCAAAGCCAACTGGTTTCCTTCAGTGCCTTAAAACGGAGCAAAGTCTATCCTGCCACTGAAGGCGGCTGTCATCTCTTCCTTCCGCCAACAACCTGGGGGGTGGGGGTGGACAGAAAAGCCACCGGGAATCGGAAAGCTCCCAACCAAGGTTGAAAGGTGGGGCCAAGCAGCGTAGGAATGGGCGGGCCTGACCAGGACCTGCAGGTGAAACATTGACCACAGCAAGCTCTCCCACGGTGAAGACCGGCCCAACGTGGATCTGGCAAGCAGGTAGCTGTGACTCGCACCTGAACGCCGCCCAGGATGTGAAAATTCCCCAGCAGCGATGGTGTCGGTGCCAACGGGTGAGGGCTCCAGGAGGAAAGCCTTGGCTGGCTCTCCCTGGGGACTGACTCGTCCTAACTTTCAAGTCACTCTCTAGGTCAGGAGAGAAGCACGGCGAGGAGGGGGTCTCTGTAGGGGGAAGCTCGGCGCGGGGCTAACGCCCGCTGCTCCAGTGACAGTTTGAGTGGGTCTGGGCAAGGCGGGCAGTGCCCACTCCCCAGGGCTGCGGCGGGGGCCCGGGCTCCCGGCGGCCCCCGCCCC